TAGGAAGTGCAGGATGTGTGGAGAGGGATGGAGACGTGGGAGCATAGTGTGGGAGAATACATGGAATGGGAAAGGAGGAGAGTTGGCAGGAATAGGTGAAGAGTATTAGGAGAGGAGGGAAGTGGAAACGTGGTTAAAAGGTTAGAAAAAGCAAGAGGGAAGGGAAGGCGAGAAGGGAAAGGATTGAAAAGAGGACAAGGGGAAAAGGGGAAAAAGGGTGGAGGGAAGAGAGAGGGGGCGAGTGGTTGTTGAAAGAAGAGAGAGAGAGGAAAGAGGGAAGAGAGGGAATAAGTGAAAGAAGTGAGAAAGGGTAGCAGTAACCGAAGCGGAGGTCCCACATAAATTAAGTAGTACATAAGAATGCGTAGTACATAAGAATGCGTAAGAACGTAAGAAGGCGTAGGAAAGGAAAGATTAGGGAAAAGAGGTCGTGTGTGTGGAGGAGTTGATAAGAAATAGGTAGGATAGAAATGCAAGAAAAAGCGTAGTAGGCGGCAAAGCAAAGCGGCGTGGCGTGTCATGTAATAGAATTGTCTTAAATGTATTAATTAGGTTTAAGTTATAGGTTTAAGTTATAGGTTAAGGATTGTATGTAAATGGAAGCATAAAGGTTTGGGATCGCTCCTTTAAATAAGAAAAAAGCGCCTTGTAATCTCCAATTGGGGCAACAATAAACGTATCTAATCTAATCCTCGTAAGTTAGGGGCAATGATTTAACTAAGGGTCCTCCTCTATTCAAGGGAGAGCCTCCAGATTGCCAGGCCAATAGCTGTAAATGACTGCCCTTACGGGCCAGAAAAAAACGAGGATCAATTCTTATACGCAGGAAAAAAATTACACGATCTGTTCTTCTACTCACCGAAACCGGAAGCTCATGTATTAATTTAACATTATAATATTTTATTATATTTAAAAAATTTTTTAAATTTTATTCTTACCGTTCCAGTCCTCGCCTTTGAGTTCTCGGAGAATCGAGCCCCAAATGAACGGCTCTGGTAAATCGAACAGTTCTATCAGGTCGAACGTGTTTGCCATGATATCCGGGCAATGGTCTTCTAAATCGCGGAGCCACTGAACGTCGCTCCACAGGTGGTCCAATTTCTCCCGCCTTCGCGCCCTTGCCATCTCACCCACTGTTCCTCAGTGGGCTCCCGCCACTCCCTACCTTCCTGCCACTTCTCCATAGCCAGTATCCTCGTTCAAGAAGAGAATTGGCTTGGATCGTCTGAAAAATAATTACTATTAAATATATAAAATATTACATTTATTTGTATTTAAATTACTATACTTACTAAATTGTGGAAGACCCTGTCTACTGTACGTGGTCCCATTTTTGACGCTATATCACTTTCTTCGACGACCGCTCGAAACATGATGCCCATTGCAAAAACAGACCGCTCTCCACAGGTCCCACTTAAAAAATCTTCACAAAGGACTATATCGCCAGGCGCTATCTATTTCAAAAAACAAACCAAGTGCCGAATGTTTACGTCTCGTGTTCCAGAGAGCCGGCGCGGCGAGAGACAGGCCCACGTGGAGGCGAAGAAACCGCACAGTCATTGACTGTGCGGTCGGGAAGGGGTCTCGGCCGCAAGGTTGAGGCAGCTCCCCGAGACGGCTTGGCGGGGGGGCGGCGGGACGGCATAGGAAACTAGCATCCTCGCCGTCCCCCATCCAACGCCCGGGATGAACACCCGCTGGGGTTTTAGTGAGGTAGGACTTGGGCCCCCTGGTCGAACCATTCGTGGCTCGGTCAAGGGGAACAAGGAGTCCCACATAACCCGCATTTCTACCCGGGGGTGCGTGGTACCATGACGGTTTCCCCAGCGTCAAAAAAAAAAAAAAGGCCCACGTGGAGAGGCGCGCGCTCTCCCATGCATTTGCGAGAGAAAGAAGAGATGCTGATACAGAGAATGATTTTTTATATTTTAATTTTTTTTTAATTACTTTTTTATATGCTAGCGGGGTGTTGCAAGGGATGGAAAAACGACAAGATTTAATTGTACAATTTTTTATATATAATATGTAATTTATTATAAAAAAATGTGTATTTGTATATTTACAAAATTTGTGTGTGTGTGTGCGCGGATGTGTGAACGTGTAATTATTATAATATAAAATTGATAAAATTGTATAAATTAGAAATTTATATAAAAAATTATAAAAAGATACATGTTTTTTAATTTTTTTTTTTTTTTTTTTTTAACTTTTCCCTAGTTCTCACTTGTGGATTGCGTCGATAGACAAGGATGAATAGCGGGGACTTGTCTCTCCTTATTCTAATTAAGAACAAGCAATAATTATTTGTCTTTTGAATATGAGTGTTCTCCAGAGGCTTGGAATTCGTGAACGTGTTTACCGGTCGGTTCGTCGTACAAGCCTGTCTCTTCGCGCTACATCGCTCTTCCCGAAAAACGCGGAAACTCGCTCCGAATTCGGCGCTTCGCCCGAGCGTACGCAATAACAATCTATCGGTGTACACAACTACACAGAGTTCTCAGTAGCGCATACCGAAGGCGCGCGGGAAACACAGAAATTTAATCTTTCCCAAACATACCCCCTTTTTTTTTTTTTTTTTTTGTTACTCTGGGGAAACCTCATGGTACCATCCGCCTCCGGGTAGAGGCGGGGGTTATGTGGAACTCCCTGCCCCGCCTGGCCGGTCCGCCGTAGCGGGCCGGAGAGCCGGGACAGGACCTACCGCACTAAAACCCCAGAGGATGTCCTTCACGGGCGTTAATGGGGGACGACCAGGATGCTGGTATCCCATGCCGACTGGCCGCCCCCCCGCCTTATCCCTTCTTGGGAGGGTGCCGCGGAAGGCGACACCCTCCCCCCGTCATCGTACGGGTTCCTCGCGGTTGCGGCGCAAGGCGACATCGACCTCACGCCGCGCCCTCTCAAAGAGTTTGAGGGGCGGAGCCATGGCTCGAGAACTTCCGCTCGAGCCATCGCCCCTCGCCCCCCCAGTATCGCAACCCCCGGACCCCCAAAAGGGTGGTCCGGTTCGGCGGTTCACTGAGGGAGCCCTCATCAGGAGGTTCCTCTCAGAAGGAGAGAAACCCCCTTCCGTGGACGGTGTTGCCCTCCCACCGGTGCCTTATGGCTCCGGTGAGAGGGCCCCACACGTCACGTCTCCGTCCTTGAGAGGGGCCCAGGCGCCCCGGACGGGAGGGCAATGCCCGCCCGCCAGGGACACGTGGCCCCTCCTTATTCTTGGTCCCCCCGGTTGCGACCTCCCTCCGCCCCATTAGGAGTCAGAGTTCACCTGCAACCGGTGGGGCCTCTCCTTCCCGGAGGGTGTGGGCGGGAGGGAGGCACCTAGGCGCTCCCATGTCCCCCCCGACACCCTCATCCGGCGTCGATCGTCAACGCCGGTATGTGGCGGGCCCCCCGACCTCCACCGCCGCGACCAGTTGCGCCCGTGGGCGCGACAGCCAGCGACGGAGGGGAACGGGACGGCACGCCCCCTCCCTTCGACCCCGCCGGAGGTGCCGTCAGGCACCCCGGACCCCCGAGTCGGTGCTTGGCCGGCCGTCGGAAGTCCACGCAAAGCGGACACCTAAGGCCGGACAGGCACCCCACCTCCTTGTGGCCAGGGGAGCCGCAGCGGTAGCAGCGGCTACCCCTGTCCACCGCCGAGGTGCACCGACGCCATGTGTGCCCAACACACAGGCACCGATAGCACCTCGGCGCCCCCATCACATTGGCGACTGTCGCCCTGTCGCCAACCCTCCTTCTCCCACTGCCTCCGTCTGAGGCAGCCCCTCCTCTATTCTCCTCCCTCATTCTCCCCCCTCTTTTTCTCCGCACCACGCTTGCCCATGTCTCCATATTCCCCTTTGTCCCCTTCCCCGTCTTTCCCTTGTCCGTCCCTGTGTCGTCCGTCCCCGTCCCCGTCTCTGTCTCTGTCCCCGTGCCGATCTCCATCCGGCACCCCTCCCCAGAGACCTCTTGGGCCACCCGAGCCTTTCTTCCAGCTCGACCAGCCTCCATCCTCGCGAGACGCCTTTCGACTAGCTCCAGCCGGTCCGAGCTGGCGGCCAGTCCCAAGGATATCTCCTCGAGTCTGTTCACCAACTCCCCCGGCAGAGGAGTCACTGTCGCAGGCGTCCCCTTCTCCTTCTCGGTCTGGGTCTACGCTGGTACCCCCCCTCTCCTGAGTCTGAGTCCCCATGTCCCTGCAGAGCCTTGCATTTTCCTCCTCGTCCCGCCCGAGGCGGACGCACTCCCTACGCGTAAGCTCTGCTACGACGCTCACCAGCTGATACGCCATGCGCCATGTGCGCCCGGCGAAGCCCGTCGCCTCTTTCAGCATGGGACTCATTTTTCCCTCCGTCTGGACCTCTTCATAGATGAACTCATTGAGTTCATCAACCTCCTTCCTTACTGTCTTCCAGACGTACATCGACCTCCGGAAGAGCCTCTCCGTGGGGACATCGATATCCTCTTCGCTCCACCACGGAGCCAGGTCCCTTTCCCATTCGAGGCCTGGAAGGAGCATCTTCGGCCTCTCCGCTTTGGGGTTATTACACCCCACCACCGACATGTCTGTCGACGAACCCGTCGACCTCGTGTCATCGTCCTCACACCCGTCGCTTGTTGACGACAGAGTGGGGGCCGGGATGACACCCCCCTCTCCGCCGGGCCCTGGGGCATCCGAAACCCCTGGGCCGGTAACGTTTTTCTTAAAACGTCGTCGTCCCATCATGTTGATTTTTGGTTTTTTTACTTGGTGGCCTTCCAAGGGTGGCGGGCCGAAGCCCTTTTGGCCCCACCAGGCCCATTCATCCACACACACATGCACACACACATTCACCCAATGTCGGGAGCCAACCAGATCTCACCCACAGCCCGTTCGACATGGGAGACCCTGCCGGGGACCGAAGTCCCCGTCGACATGGCCTGTGGGATCATTGATCCAGCGCTCCCGACATAAACACACACACCAGCTCGGGACCCCCGGGTGCGCGAGACCCGTACCCCACAGAGGGGGCACATGACCCCCCCCTGCAGAGTCCCTGAGGGTGCCCTCCTATACCGGAGAGCCGGTGTACCTCCCTACAGGAGGTACGGTCCGCTCTTGGCACCCCTCGCAAGAGTATCCTCTTGCAAAGGGTGAGCCCTCTCACCACGACAAGGTGGCGGACAACGAGAGGGCCCAAACATACCCCTCGGGTTGAATCGTCAAGGGATTCAAATGACAGTAAGGGATAAATCTTTACACATTGAACTGCAATCATTGGAGACAATCTATAGAATTTAGATTACGCTGAACCGTCCGGACTTACTGGCAATTTACAAAGTTTAACAATAGGTCTTACAAAAGTAGAAGACGCGATCTTGACCTGAGCAACTCGTACCAAGCCATCCTTGTCAGGCTTACATTCGATTATTCTCGCAAGCTCCCATCTGCAGGGAAATAAATTAGGATTTTTTGTTAGAACAATATCGTTTATGCGAAATTCATCAGATCGATTCTGTCATTTGAAACGCTGCTGCAAAGTGTTCAAGTAGTCAAGACTCCACAATTTCCAAAATTGTTCGTATTTCGCAAGCATTAATTGCCATCGATTGAGTCGTGACTCGGAGATATGTAAAACGCTCGGACTTGAAATTGATTTAATGTCACTACCAATTAAAAAATGCCTTGGTGTAAGCGCATTGCAAGAATTTACATTGTCATGAAGTGGGGCAATCGGGCGCGAATTTAAACATGCTTCGGTGTTACATAAAAGAGTGGTAAACTCTTCGACCGTAGGTGTGCAGGAGTCAAGAATACGTCGCAAATGGTGCTTAACACTTTTAACACCTGCCTCCCACATGCCCCCAAAATGGAAGGCGGAATGAAATGCCATTGAACTGGCTTTGACGCGAAATTCGCCTGCAGTTCTACGTCAGCTTGAGTCTGTCGGATCGCTGTAACAAGTTCGCGATCCGCGCCTTGATAGGTAGTCGCGTTGTCGGAATATAGATCGGATGAAATGCCACGATGCGCTACGAACCGTTCGAAAGATGCGAGAAACGCAGCCATGGAATAATCATGAACGAGCTCTAAGTGTATAGCTCGTGTAGCGAGACAAACAAATAGCGAGAAGTATGTTTTGTGCAACTTACGTCCGCGGCCGGAAGCGTCTCGAATTGCGAAGGGGCCGGCGTAATCAAGTCCCGTATGGCAAAATGGACGGGACGGAGTTACTCTAAATGTAGGAAGGTTGGCCATAAATTGTACGCCGGTTATGGCGCGATGCCGAGTACATGTCACGCAATTGCGGATACAACCTTTTACCATGCTTCGCGCCCCCAGAATCCAATATTGTTCTTGCAACGTGCGAAGCATTAATTGTACACCGCCGTGAAGGGTGTCCTTATGAATTTGATCAATAATGAGCTTAGAAAGTTGATGTTTTGGAAGTAAAATCGGAAATTTACGATCATATGAAAGGTCAGACATTTGAAGTCGACCACCCACGCGTATTATACCGGAGGGATCAAGAAAAGGATCGAGAGAATGAATGGAGAATCGAACTGGTAACCTTGAATTGGCTTTGAAAGCGACGATTTATTTTGAAAAGTATTCCGTTTGCATCTGTTTAATCCAGAATTTGTGCGCGGTTTTTATTTCATCGACTTGCAAAATAGAAAGAAATTGAGCAACATCCGGGATTCTCGTTCAAAACTTGAATCGAAGGACGTATGCGGTGGCACGTAGTAAGCGCGGCCACGTGGACATATGATTGAGTAATTCAAAAGGTTCCGTTTGATTTGAATGATGCGAATGGACTGAATTTGAAGCTTTCAATTTGGAATCATCTTTGTTGCAATTTATTGTTGGTTGAGCTTGCCAATTATCCTCGTTAAATTTTAGCCATGCCGGGCCGTTCCACCAAGAACTTGAAGGCATTAGCTAAGCTGGATTTATGCCGCGCGATGCGCGATCCGCGGGATTATCTTCTGTTGGCACATGTAGCCATGTCGCCGTAGGAAGCTTTGTTTGAATAGAAGACACTCTGTTAGCTACGAATACTTTTAAGTCTGATGGAGCCTTTTGTAACCATGCTAATACAATAGTCGAGTCACTCCAGCAAAACACAGAAATGTTTTGCAATTTCATTGCGTCAATAGTAAACGAAATACAGCGAGCTAGCAGCTGAGCCGCACAGAGCTCGAGTCGTGGAATCGAAATCGTTTTAATCAAAGCGACCTTGGTTTTTGACATAAGAAGTCGAATATGACTATCGCCAGAGTTTGTGACAATTTTTGAATAGACTACCGCTGCATAGGCTTTAGACGAAGCGTCGCAAAAGCCGTGCAAATGTAAGCACTGAATGTTACGCTCGAAGCCTAACCAACGAGGAATTTGCAGAGTCTTCAAGTGTAACATTCTTTCGCAAAAAGCATTCCATTCGGTTGTTATTTCCGCAGGAAGAATATCATCCCATCCGTAGAAAAATTTCCATAGTTTTTGCAGTAGAATTTTGAGAGATATCGTGATCGAAGACAACCATCCGAGGGGATCGAATATTTTCGCTATCGTAGAAAGGATTTTTTGTTTCGAAATGTCGGTAGATGGTGGACGGAATTTTATTTTAAAGGAGAAGTTATCATCGCAAGGTGTCCATTGAATACCGAGTATTTTTAATTGTTCACCTTCTTGGAAAGGCTTGGAACTTGCTAGACCGTGATTCGCAGGATTTATATCATGTAGAATTTCAAAATCGTTGCTGGCCCATTTTCTGAGATGAATGCCTGCGCTTTGTAAACAGGAGATTAATTAGTCGCGTTTTTCAATCGTGGACGGTTTATCATCGCCGCCGGATAGGACATCATCAACGTATATTTCATTTTGCAAAATTGCTTGAGCTAGTGGAAAACGCAAATTCTCGTCGATTGAAAGTTGGTTGAGCACGCGTTGGGCGAGATAAGGTGCGCAGGCAGTACCATAAGTAACGGTATTTAATGAATAAGTATGGGCTGGTTCGTTCGGATTCGTACGCCACAATATCAATTGATATTGGCGATCGTCTGAATGAACCTGTATTTGTCGAAACATTTGCTGAATATCAGCTGAAAAAACGTATTTGTATAAACGCCATTGAAGAATAATCGCCGTAAGATCGGCTTGTAACTTTGGACCAATCATAAAATGATCATTTAAAGAAGTGTTATTCGAGGTATTTGCCGAGGCATTAAACACTACACGAAGTTTGGTTGTAGTATTGTTCTCGCGAATAACTGGATGATGAGGTAGAAACGTCGGTTGGAAGAAGTTTTGCACGTTTTCGATTTTTTGTATATGTCCGAGCTCTTCATACTCTTTAAGAAAGTCGACGTATTGCCTTGAAACTTCACGAGAATTGGCTAAACATCACTCTAGTTGCGCAAGGGAACGCGTAGCTACTGATTTTGACTCGCCGATTCTTATCGAAGGACCAGACTTGAATGGTAAACGGACAACATAGCGCCCTGAAGAATCGCGCATATGTCTCTCTTGAAAATGTAAATTGCAACGAAGATTTTCCTCGGAGAGAACATGTGTCGTTGGAATTTCTTCCAGCTCCCAAAACCGTCGGAGTTCGAAATCGAGATTGCCAGAAGTTGCTTGGTGAACGTGAATTCTTTGACTATCCTTTTGTTTTGAAATAGGGCCTGAAATGATCCACCCGAATATAGTTTCTTGTGCAAGTGTAGCATTGTTAGAAGCTTTCATTAAACCACCCATCAAAATTGAACCGTATAATTCGGCACCGAGAAGTACTTCGATTGCATCATTTGAGCTTGGATTTGGATCGGCTAGATTCAATTTGGAAAGAAACGGAATCTCTTGTAATTGAAAATAAGGTGGAATGTACGCTGTAATTTTTGGAACGACCAATGCTTTGGTATAAAGAATCGTATCATTTTCATTAGTCACGCTTATAGAAATAGAAACGGCATGTTGAACGTAATTAGATGTAGTGTCACCGATGCCAGATACTTCACGCGTGTTGAAATTAAGCGAGCTCTCAACATTTGAGCGACTCGTGACAAAACAAAGGTGGCATCGGAATCTTGATCGATAAGTGCTCGCGTGTAAACATATCGACCGTTTTCGGATCCTATACAAACGCGTGCGGTAGCCAGGAGCACGGGTTTAACTCCCGCGTTCACGTGTAAATGTACGTTGGACGCGTCATCGCATTTTCCAGAGTCTTTTGTTGTAGTTAAACTTGACCTTGAATCCTCGTGTAATAAAGTATAATGCTGTCTTTTATATTTTAAGCAAGTAAAGGAACTACGGCAATTAGAAACGTAATGACCTTTGGTCAAACAATTTTTGCATATATTATTTTTCTGAACAAACTCTAGTCGATGCGAAATGCTTAATGCTTGAAATTTTTCGCAATGCATTAAACGATGTGTTTCGGAACAAAGAGCGCACGTACTTGTAGTGTTTGTATGGTGAGAACAAACTATATTATTTTTTCGTACCGTATTTGGAATTGAGCGAGCACCGGAACTCTTTTCGGATGAGTTTACGTTTGCGGACTTTGAGTTATCCCCGTCCTT